CACACTCATACACACACTCACGTATACTCGCACACGTATGCACACACACACTTACACACACACACACACTCACACACACATATACACACACAGGCGCACACTCTCTCACGCCCACCAACCCTCGGAGTCTGAGCGTTCGAGCCCCACGAAAAACTAGTCCAAAGTCCAACTTTGTTCTTTCCGGGGAAACTTTGTTTCTGCTTATTTGTTACTTTGTTTGGAAACATTGTTGCCATTCATGCACATCTGCATGCACATCTGCAAATAGGCGCAGCTGGGAGAAGCTGTAGAGAGGGACTAGGGCCGGAGCTGCAAACGGGACAGTGTCCTAATTCTGCAGGCGGAGCCAGAAGCTGGGCTAGATGCTACTCTATAACAGGGACCGCGGAAACCGTGCCGACCGCTCCTTTCTCTGGGGCCTGCGGGGTGTACAGTTGATGGGGAACAGGGTAGGAGACCCATCTGAAGTTGCGGGCTTGGCTAGACTTCTACTGGCGGAAATAAGCTCCTATCTCATGGGGGGGAAAGGGCTGAGGCTGGGGTGGGAGTGGGAGGAAGCTAGCCGGAGGCGGAGCCAGCCACCTTCTGATCCCAAAGCACGAGCAGTCTCACCTGCAGTCCCAGGTGGCCACTCCCACACAGGGCTCAGACAAACACCCCTTTGTCCCACTGCCTTTCTTGATCCGTTTGCCTGATCGGGGGGATATTTTGCCATCCTCGATAAGAATCAGAAACCAAGTGGTCCAGGGATGTGTTTATAGTATCCCCAGACTCAACTCAATGCCTCAGGAGTGAAGGCTTCTTACCCTACTCTATGAAGGATAACAGCCTAACCCCCAACTCGGGTTTGATGTAGAGAGAAGGCCCAGACTCCACTCCCTCCGTTCCCCAAGTGCCTTCATCTTCGGAGACTGGCCGCTTCTCGGTAGCTGTGGCTGCGGATGTTTTCTACCTTACGATTTTTTTCCCCCAAGTTGCAAGGAACTCAGAGGGGAGTTGGATGAGATTTTCTTCTAGTGTGTGTGTGTGTGTGTGTGTGTGTGTGAGGGGGGGGATGACACATTCTTACACCCCAAACACCTCTCTGGCCTACCACCACCACTTCTGGGTGCTAACTTCCTCTTTAAGGACGACAACAGACAGTGGATTCATAAAGGTCACAGACAGGGTGGGAAGGGTCTGCAGAAGCCAGTGAGACCCGAGTCCGAGCTGTAAATACCCTTCCCTGATTGGGCTCCTTCCCAAAGGCTGAGGCTGATGGCAGCCTCAGTAAACGAAGTCAGGGCCTCAGTATTTTCGTTGTCTCAAGTGTCCCTCCCGAATAGTGATGAACCCAAAATCTTTGAAGAGGAAAGAAGGGACAGCAAAATAGGGCGGACACGTGGCTTTTGTCAGCGATACTGTTGACCATCCACTCAGGGGGTTCCCCAAACTTTACTGAAGCCCCACTTATCCTATCCCTGTACTCCCTCACTCCTGTTTACGCCCTTTTTACCTTTTAAGTCCCGAGACAATTTGTGGGCTGCCGATGTCCACAAACCATTTGAAAGATAAAATTATCCTTGACTTGGGGGGGGGGGGTGAACCAGGAATTCTGCGATTTGTGAGAGCTGTTTTTCTTAAACGGAAATTGAGCCCTATTCTGAGGGAAATTAGTTTTGCAGACTTTGGTTTAAAAAAAAAAAAAAAAAAAACGAAAACTTTTGTCCACCAGCTGCCTGGCTGCCTGACTGCCCCGCTCTTTGGGGCAGTGTTGGTGAGAACCGGGAGCTGTAGACGGCCAGGGACCGACGGTAAGGCAGACGGGCCCTGAATCTGATCTGAGGGATCCCCTTCCTCGTGTTGGGACCCTCCACTCTCCCAAAAGCCTGGCAAGGGTGGAGGGGTGCCTATACTCCCTTCTGAGGGGACTGGGGACCGTAGGCTGGGCCCAGGGTACGGGGGAAGGGGAGGGGGCGGTTCGGTTACCATAGGAGTGGAATATTTGTCTGATTTCTCCTTGTGTTTATGGTTTCAATATGGGCTCTGATATTAAACCTTAAAGTACAAAGAAAAGAGAGCTCACCAGGACTCTGGGCTTAGTTAGCCCCTAGCTTGGCTGTGGGCAAAGGCAAGGGGGTGGGGCTGAATTGAGAGGATGCTCAAGAAAAAGTAGGGCACCCTTCCCCCCAACCCCTGCTCGGCACCCAGAACACTAGGGAACCGGGACCTGCCCGCTGGGACTCTTCCATCCCAGAGAGACTGAATCCGATCTGCCCTGGTTGAGAATGGAGTTGAACTTTAGGCGGGCTGAGCAGAAAGAGACTAGCTTGCGCGCCCCAGGGCTGAAACCAGAAAGTTAGGGTGCTGGAAAGAGTTAGGTCAGCCTGGAACAATAGAATTTCAGGTAAGCCTAGTCAATTAGCAGCAACAGATGCCTTCTCTACAAACTTCTCCTCTCCACTGTCCCAGGACTGAGCTGGCTTCTCTTCTGTAGGTCCCCTGGGTCAGGTGTTAATGACTGACCTATGATAGGGTCCTGAAATTTCCAACCAACCTGCCCCTGTCAATCAGTCGTTAGAAACGGCTGGTGTCGAGGCCAGAAAGGAAAAAAAAAAGAGAGAGAGACAGAATGGAATGAAAGGAGAGAGACAGTCGTCCAGCCCGAAGCTTAAAGGGACGGTGTAGGGAGGCAGGAGGGATATTCGAAGCCCCCTGTCCACGCGTGATTCAGCTTTCTAAGAAAGAGAGCGGACTCTTACTGGACAAATGCACAAGGCTTCTTTTTCCACAACATACAGGGAACTCAACTTGAAATGAATTTCATTGTTGCCTAGAGAAAATAATAAATATAAATAAATATAGATGTATATATGCATACATATATACACACATAAATAGGAGTATTTTTTTTTAATATCACTTAAAAGCGATCATGTTTGGAAGTAAAACCTTTTCATTTTTGGTTATCTCGTAATTTCTCCATTCGGAGAAATCGCTCCTTGTGGGTTTTTTTTTAATTAATTTATTTATTTATTTATTTATTCATTCATTTATTTATTTATACAGTCGAGAGTAAGGGAGAGACAGGAGACACACCGCCCTACTTTTTATTTTCCCTTTCTACATCAGTTGCAGAAAGCAAAATAGAAAAATAAAAGTGCCACTCGTGTGGCGAATGCATCCCTTTCATTGACTGACAGCTGTGAGAAGTTCCCGATTACTTATATTGATTTTGAAATGATAGGATGCTGGCTTTTTATTTATTTATTTATTTGCTCCCATCTTGTAACTGTTCCTGCAAAGTCACACTAAGCAGACTGGTAGAAACATGGGCGTGGGTATTATAAGTTCTCTGTAAATATTAATTGCAAAAAAAAAAAACCTCTGAGCCTCAGTTTCCTCATCTGCAGGATAGTGGTAATGCTGGTATTTCCTGCCTGAAAGGAAAGTGCCTCGTAAGCTTGGGAAAGGAGAGCTGCGGTAAGGGTTGCTGCGATAATCGGAGCTTTTGAGTGCATTCAATTCCCTTCGTGTCTGCACTTCCCTGACAAAATCATAAAAGGAGATCACATGCCAACAAGTTTATTTATTTATTTAACAAAGCTACAAGAGCATCACCTGGCACGTCATGCGATGTTTTATTTACATGACGACTTCAAACCACCGAGCTTGTTAGAAAATGAATTCCAGCGATCTTGAACGTGGGAGGGATTGCTTTTTAAAGTAGCCAAGGGTTACAGCCTCGCACCCTACATATGCAGCACCATCACAACCCACCACATTGAAGCTCTAAGCATTTAAAAAGAAAAAAAAGACTGAAATTGAGTCAGAGACAGAAAGCGTAATGATTTTTCCCTATATTTTAAAATTTGATGAGCATTAGAATTAATCCTCTTTTCTTGAAAAATCTAAAAACAAAAAAACAAAAAAACCTTATAATTGTTTTTGTTATTCTTTTAAATGTTGCCAGTCTTCTATAATGTCAAAATTCAAAGAAAATCTAAGCATTTAAAATGCATTATGAGTTGACATTATTAAATCAATTTTATAAAAGACACGGAGACAATTATAATACAATTTACCTGATAGATTAATTTCCCTTGGAAACACACGTGTATAATTATATATGTACATACATCATACATCATATATGCTAAATATATATATACAACACATGCACGCATATATATGCTGATAATCTCCTTCCACCAATGTCTACTTTTGTATGTGCATGTGCATGTGTTTGT